ACATAAGCGGTATATGTTACAACGGCAATCATGATCACGGAGATACCCAAACCAGGGTAAAAATCTAAAAGGATAATGCGGTGAATGGGTTTCGGTCGTCAGTTTGCCTCTGACAGAACATATTAAAGACGTTTTCTTACTCATTAATGATTACTTGTGAATTTAGCTAAATAACTTTTATAACTATAACTAGAATTATTACATTTTATGTTGGAAGTTCTTAATGCGGAACCAGGAACCGCAGCGCAAGTTGGACCAATATATATACATTTGACGCGAGGGATATGATTTTTTACTTTTGTATTCCCTCTGTTTCGTCAACTAAAATCCCTTTATCAGTGGTTGATAAAGGAGTTGTATCAACCACTGATAATGACGCCTTCTTGCGTACAAAACGTAGTTTTACAACCTTTATAGCACAACGCTGAACACACATAAAATCAGGCATCTGCAACTTGACTTCTGACCTTAGACAGAGCATTCTTTTTAATATACAAACAAATTAGATGTTGAAACAATCATGAATATTTAATTTTAATATTCAAGCCATTTTGAAGGTTCCTTCTCTTATTAAATAGAAACCTCGAACCTGACTGGATCATAGCCGTAGGTAACGCCACCAATCCACCACCAGCCAGGTCTCCAACAACGAATAGACCTGTGACGAACCAGCTAAGACCTCGAGGATTCATATATGGCTTAGCCATATCCATAATTGAATTTCGAGGCGAGTTATATGACGACGAAGGTAAAGAGCCATCCTTACTCCTGCAACAAGTGTCAGGTTACTGAAAGTGGAAATTTAACGATTTATACATTATTCGCTTTCTGCCACTTTCTTTGCTAATTCTCCCACAAATTACAATCAAAATTTTGTTAGAGGTTAATATTCGTCAAATGCGGCCTAAAATGACTATAGTTTGTAGAGAAAGTTCTATATAACTTCATATCAGAAATATAGAAGCAGGTAAGCAAAACGAAAATTAAGGGTCAAATAGTAAACATAAATAGATATAGCTAAACTCTGAGCCAAACAAAAACAAACCACTTTTGCCCTTAATACGATTAAACAGGAATCTCCCAATAAAACTTAAGATAAAAATTAAAATGCGCCAAAAATTCCTTACAAAACGATGGAATAAAAAAGCACGAAAAGGGAATGGAATGAAAATGAGACTAACTTCTTTATATGAAAGACTTTATTACAATTTCAATGTTCTGATTTTTAAGCTTCTCTCGAACCCTTAGGTGCTATTTCTTAAGATTTTCATAAGTTATTTCTTTTGAACTATAAAAACTACAAACTTTTAGTTTACTTTTCCTCATTTCCAGGTTGGTTTATGTTTCAATAAGATAAAACTCACATTTTTAGATCCCCGTTTTCCGTTGGCAAGCCGTTCACGTTCACGCTCCAAGACATTGCGAGACCCTATTTTTCTATGTGGATCTTCTCCTTATTCAGTAGTTGGTGACGGTTGACACGTGCTGACGTTGAGAGCTTGCGAGCGACAGGAGTTAAGCTCGTTATCGGCAGAAAACGTACTTCTACACTTTCTTTGCGTTATCTCTAA